TTATTTATAAAACTAACTTTGGTTTTAAATATAAAATTTATGGATTAAAATAAGAATATTATCTATTTTATATAATTATTTAAATATTTTAAAATTTTAAACATGATTTTAAACATAAATATCAACTAATGATTTTAAAAACTAAAACAATATTATTTATAAAACTAGTTTTATTTTTAAATATAAAATTTAGGGTTCAAACAAGAACATAATCAATTGTGAAGAATGTGTGAAATCGAAGAGGGAAGATCAAGAGATACAAGTTTACTATAGCAGGTAACATAATTTAGTATTTTTAGTTATTTATTCATAATTTTACATGTTTTGATTCTAAGTTTTTCATTGATTCTTCAATATATTTAAGTTTTGAAAAATTAATAATAAATATTTTTTTATTTTTAGTTATGGGGTTAGATAAAAGTTGGATGCATATGCTTGATAGGACACAACCTGTGTATGAAAAAGGAGTTCTTGAATTTATTGAATTTGCATTTACCGGGTTTGATGAAGATCAGTTACTCAGTTGTCCGTGCAAAAGATGTAACAATAACCTATTTCGGACTAAAAGAATCATATATGAGCACTTAATCACAATTGGGATAAGAAGAGATTATGTTATATGGGATCTTCATGGAGAAGTAGTGAAGGAACATCATAGAGATGGTGATAAACAAAATTATAATGAGGAGATTCATAATATGTTACATGATCTTGGAAGTGCTTTTAATGTTGAAGGTAACATAGAAAATAAAGAAGCAAGTGATACAAGTCCAAAGAGTAAGAAGATGAATGAAAAAGCGTCAAAGTTCTATAAATTATTAGAGGATGTTGAGGAGGAACTATATCCTGGTTGTGAAAATTTCTCAAAGTTATCATTTATTGTTCAATTATTAAATATCAAATGTCTATTTGGTTTGAGTGCAAAAGCAATTGATGCCTTACTTGATTTATTAGTAAAAGCTTTTTCACAAGAGAATAAAGTTCCTAGGTCTTATTCTGACGCTCGAAAAGTTATTCGTGAACTTGGACATGATTATATAAAAATTGATGCTTGCATTAATGATTGCATTCTTTATCGAGGTGATTATTTGAAATTAACATCTTGTCCAACAAGTAAATTTCCTCGATATAAGGATCTAGATCAAAAGTTACCCCAAAAAATTATGCGTTATTTTCCTTTAGCCCCAAGGTTACAACAATTATATGTATCCGCCAATATTGCTAAAGAAATGAGATGGCACAAAGAAAAGCCTTTCGATGAAGATGGAAAAATGAGACATCCAGCTGACTCTATTGCTTGGAAGAGTTTTGATTCATGATATCCATCATTTGCAGCAGATTCACGCAATATTAGACTTGGCCTAGCAAGTGATGGTTTCAATCCATTTGGAAATATGAGTACATCATATAGTGTGTGGCCCGTAGTTTTAATCAATATAATAATAATGTAATTTTTTATTTACAAAAATCATATAAAAAACATGAAAGATAAAAAATATTAGGTTGTATGAAATTTTCGTAGAAAATAACAAGTTATTGTTATAACTTACATCATCTTAAAAGTGAATAATTATTGTTATTTATTTAAAAAATAATATAAAAATATTTAATATAAAAAGTTAAATATAAAATTAAATTAATTAGTAAGAATGAGTATCACTAGTACGTAAATCACTTTTAACATCGGGTTTTCCACATCGGTTCTTTAAGAACCGATGTAGAAAGTGAATTCAAGACTTTCAACATCGGTTCCCGGATGAACCGATGTAAAAAGTCTTTTTATAAAATTAAGAGAATTATTATTGACAGGATTTGAACCCAATACATTGAAGTCGAGGTCGATACTCCAACCACTAAGCTACCAAGATTTTCTCGATAATAACTTATACATAAATTATATTTATATACAAATAAAAATGTATATCCATGTAAATATATAAATATAAAATATATAAATACAAATACAAATATATTTATATATTTATATGTTGGATGTGAGAGCGCTCGAGAGTAAAAGTGTGTGTCAAGTGAGTTTTCAAAATTTGATGTCAAATTTGTGAGCAAGTTTCTTTATATGAAATTGTAATTTAATGATAGAATATAATCTTTATAATTTATTTATAATAATATATAATATAATCTTTATAATTAATTTATATAATGATATAAAATAAAGAAAAAAATTTATTTTATATCATTATATAAATAAATTATAAAGATTATATTTTGTCATTAAGTTATAATCCATATAAAGAGACCCGATCACAAATTTGACATCAAATTTTAAAAATTCACTCGACACACACTTTCATCCTCGAGCGCGTCCTCACATCCAACATATAAATATATAAATATATTTGTATTTGTATTTATATATTTTATATTTATATATTTACATGGATATACATTTTTATTTGTATATAAATATAATTTATGTATAAGTTATTATCGTAAAATCCTGATAGCTTAGTGGTTGGAGTATCGACCTCCGACTCTAAGGTACTTGGGTTCGAATCTCACGTGACAATTCTCTTAATCTGATAATAAATGAAATTCCTAAAAAATATAAATAATAAAATTATAATATAAAAGGGTTGTAAAAGGGAGAGGATAGTCTAGGAAACTCTAGATCAATAGATAGGGTAATTAGATATGTGTTATGAATAAATAAATAAAAAAAATGACAAAAAAATGTCAATACTAGTGTATTGACAATACTTTAAAAAATGAATTAAAAAAATTATGAAAAAATAATATAGAGATATAAGATATGTCAATAAAAAATATATTTCAATTGAATATATCTACTTTATAGATTATTAGAAAAAAAATATTCCTATTCTAATTAAGTTTACCTAATATAAAAAATTATTATATAAAAAGTCATCATTATTTTTTTTTACTTAATTATTCTTTGAAAAAAAAAAACTTTAGTAGCACCTCTTAACGAATTATTTAAAAATAACATAATTCAATAAAAATAAAAAATAATTTGGATCAAATTAAATAATATGTTTTTATTAAATACAAAATTCAAATAATTCCAATTAATTTTAAATATTATTATATTTCATCTTATTTATTCATTAGAAATAAAAATAAGTTAACTTAATAATAATAATGAATAAAATTATTAATAATTAATTTTGTCCCTAAAAATACGGTTAAAAGTTGAATCCAAAATGTTGTTTTTTTTTATATTATTTAAATAACTTTTTCAATTTTAATATTAAAATTGTTAATTTAATTAAATATAAAAATAAGGTAAAATATTTTTTTATTTATTGAAATAAATTTTGAATTTAAGAATTACAAATAATATGATTTATTAAATATATAAAACTAAATTAAACTCAAAACCATGGTATGTATATTTGATATTGGTAATTAGTTTTAAGTTTTATAATTGTCAAGTTTCAAATAACAACATAAACATTTTTACTTTATTTATTTAAATAATTTATTTTATAATTAATTATTTATGATATACGTTTTATATATTTTTAATGAGATTATAATAATAATTTTTAATTTCTATCATTTTAAAATTATAATTAATATATATATATATATATATATATATGAATTATACTAATAATTTTTAATTTAATCATTAATGTGTTAATAATATTTGTGATAAATATATTATTATTTTTACTTTTAATAAGATTACAGTGATAATTTTAAATTTAGTCACTAGTATAATTGTGATAAATTAAAAATTTGTTACAAATAATATATATATTGTGACAAATATGTTGTTATTGTTACTTTTAACAAAATTATAGTGACAATTTTTAATTTGGTCACTAATATAATAGTATTTGTGGTAAATTAAAAAATTGTTACAAATAATATATATATAGTGACAAATTTTATATTTGTCACTAAAATTTTGTCACTAAAAGTTATATTTCTTGTAGTGATTGGCACCAAATTAATATAATGTATTATTTTTGTATTTATTTAATCATATATTATAAATAAAAATTATATAGTTAAATAACTAAAATATTTTTAGTAAATAATGTGATTAATAGATTCAAATAGAACATATAATAACAACATTTAAAAAATATTTTTGAAAAACTTAATTGAATAGTGTATTAATCTTATGATCACTAACATTGTATAATTTGAAAAAAATAAAAATAAAGTAACATTATTTGATATATTTAATACTTGTTAAGCTGTTGATTTCTTCTTTGACATATTTTTTATTTGAAAAATAAATTTGAACCACCAAACCAATATTAAATCTTTCATGTTATTAATGGACAATGTGTGTATTAACTTACTATGCAATCACTTCAAACCTTCAACTATGAGTAAATTTAATTTTATAATCATTAATTAATTGAAGAAATTTGTAGCATATTAATTACAGTCCCATGTGCTCATCTTCAATGTTTTAACTTGATATGATAATTAATTACAGTTTGATTCCACTTCTTGATATTATATATAGAAAATCATAAACAAGTATAACCAAACAGCTGCAATTACGCGAATGAAAACTAAAAAACCTTCCTAAGAACCCTTTTTTCAAAATCATACAATAAAGATTAACCATAAAATACAACAATCAAATTCAAAATATTATACTGAGCATGACAAGATGAAGCTACTTACAAGTTTGCGAACCCAAACTATTTTCTTTTTCGAGAACATTAACAACTAAAACAAATAAATAGTTTTGAATCTGGTGGTACCCGTAACAGTGATCGTAACATTTTGATGGCTATTATTTTTATCCTTTACATTCATAAGCTATATCCTCTATAATCCTAAAGCATGAAATATATAAGATAAAAACAAAGAAAAATCTAATGTCGTGATATGAACTATACCACACACTCTCACTAATAAACCTAAGAATTTGAAGCTGGGAAACAGTAAAAAAAAAAATGTAAAACAAAAACAAAACTAGACCAACGGAGTTCATGCCACAGCTTTGAATCTTCATATATAGCTTCAATCCATGCCATCGGTTCCTCTGGTTACCCTCTTATCTTAGGCTTTAACCTGCTACACATGCATCCTTGGTTATGAAATAGATAGTATGAAACCACAATGAACAAACACTTGAGAGGAAAAGGGGAATGTTATTACTTGTTCTGTGTAGGATTTGGTCTGCTAGGTGGTATCCTTCTAAGGTTAGCAGCTACCTCAGGCACAGTTGGATTTGGTTTTCTAGGTGGTATTTTGCTAAGGCTAGCGGCTACATGAGGCTTCTGAGTTGATTTTTGTCCTTCTCTATGAAAATATGAATGTGAAAGAGATTGTGAAGTTTTTGAAACTAAGGATGAAGAAGGAAGAACCCTAGCTTGGGACATGATGACCCCATATGAAAGGATGAATGTGATGGCAAAGATAGCAGCAATCATTGAACTGCACAAGGAATTCATGGTCTTTTCTGACTTGGAGGATGTCTTTCACTTGCCCTATATGCTTCTTGCAATGATGAGGTGTGGACAAGAGTGGTGATGATATATATATAAAGTTTTGATTACGTGTATGCAATATTCTTGTGATATACATGTACAATATCTTGATGATTATATTAACAATTTTGTTGGCTAGTAGGTTGGACCAAATTTGAAAATGGAGGAAAGGGTGAAGGGGTGTCATGTGAGAAATCTTTGACTAATGGAGCTTACAAGTCCCAAAGCAAAATCGGCATGAGATTAGGTTGAAGGTTGATCATATGATTGTGGGGTGCATGTCACGTGATGTGGAACGTGGTTTATTTACAATTGGTGGGTTGGCAGCTTTGGATTCTACAGTCTCAGAGGTTTACAATTGCAATCATCTGAACAATGTTGCTCAAACCAAGGTGAGGCAAATGGCTTTGGTTTAAAAGACTGAGTCAAAATCTTAAAAAATTGTGCCTCGTGAAATGGAGTCATCAGAAAATACTACTACAATTTGTGTTCACTCCTAGAAGTTGTCTCTAGAACAACATGCCTATTCACTCTTCTCTTCCTTCAACTGTTCTTCCCTTGTCAGAGATGCCACAGATTAAACTTTCTATTATTTTATCGCTTCAGAAATATGTGTGATGAAAAATATATGTATAACAATTACACAAATTTTAAAACTTTTCAAAAAAAATATAATAAAGGGCTTATTATATATAATTACTAGCATAATAAAGTTATAAAAGAAAAAAAAATCTCTTACAATACAAAAAGCTAAATTTTTTTATTTTTCATTCCACAATTTTTATTGATTTCCAGTTTTAGTTTCTAAAAAAGTTGACTAATTTTAGTCCTTATATTTTTATCTGTTAAATTTTTAATTTGCCATCAATTTTTTACGTGCAAACCCTGCGTGTTACTCCGTGGTTTATCATTTATGATTTTTAATGGATATGGGCCATCAGTACAGGCTTCGGCCCGAACATAGGAACTGAGATAGGAACACATTTTCATGCATTTTTTTTACCCAAATTTCCATGCACTGTTAATTAAAAGGCTTTTATTTTTTGCACCTCATTAACTGTCTCCTACACCTCCTAATTTTTTAAATACCAAACTTACCCTCGTCTCTTTCATGTGGGACAGCAGTTGCCCATTCCATTGTTCATGTTTATGAAAATGAAATCATCATAAGATAACATAAAGACCAATCTAAATTCTTAAGGCATAACAAACCTAAGAATTTGAAGCTTTGAGAAACATTAAAACACTGAAAAACAAAACCAAACAAATTTAAACTAGACACCAACAGTTGATGCCACAGCTTTGAATCTTCATACCAGGGTTCAATTTGCTGCATGAAAATGCAGCCTTTTCTGATATTTTATGAAAAACACACCAAGAAGATACTAATGAAGGAAAGGATAAATCTTACTCGTTCTGTGTAGGATTTGGTGTGGTAGATGGTATACTTCTAAGGATATATAGCAGCTACCACACGCTTCTGACTTAATCTGTGTCCTTAGAATTTTTGTTTTGACACTTAAATCTACGCTGTGTTACAAGATTCTTAAGATTAACATCAAGTTTATCTAACACTAACATTAAACTTATATATATGTTGTCAGGTATATTCATAATTTTGTTGGCAAGTGGGTTGCTTTAAACTCATGTGACAAATTAATGTTTGACTAATTAAGTTAACAAATCCCAAAGCTACATCAGCGTGAGATTAGGTTTAATGTTGATTTTATTTTTCTGGAGTTTCACGTTATGGTGGGGTTTCGCTGCTTTGGATTCTACTAATATTTCAGAGGTTCAAATTACAATAACCTCATCAACTATAATGTTTCTTACTTAAAAATAGAAACCAAATTCCCTTCAATTTTTACCAACTATTATTATAATTAAACCTTTCGAAATTCATTATCCTTGTAGATTTCAGAAATATTAGTTTTCGAAATTGAGAAAATAAATAAAAAATCTTCCAACAACAACGAGAGAAAATATAACATTGGTTAGGCCCAGCGAGAAAGAAGCCCAATATGAGGTAAAGAACAATTTAATGACAAACATTACTATTCCTAAGAACAAATGAAACATTGATTTAGAAGTTACAAGATTAGCATAGTTGGTAGATTAATACTTAAAAAAACAGAAATAAGAATTATTTAACTCTGATTCAATGCTTGAAAAAAATAAAATTCTGATTAATATTCTTGGTTAGCACTTAGAAGCACTAGTAGCAACATTAGGAAAAATATATATAAAGTTATTATATACTCATCTCACACAACCCAGGCTCTTCACTTACATGAGGAGCTGGTTCCCTGAATCTACCAATGCCTACTTCCTATAGGCCCCAAAATAAATCACTGACATTGTTCTTAGTTCATGCTAGTAGAAACTTGTTGTTTTTCCCTTTTTATAGAAAAAAATAATTAATTCTAATAACATTTTTATTACATTTTCATAGCTGCTTCTTCTTCTATTCATTCTGGATGCAACATGTTTCTTGATGCATTCCAAAACCTTCAAACTTTTCTTCACTGTCAACTGCAAGCAAAATTTTGATATTTATTGTTCACCTTTGCAATCACGGTTTAGTGCACCAATGTACCTGTTTACACATTAAAGGAACTTTTCAATAGTCTCACTAGCTTCATCTTTATCTATATTTACATTGATTTGCACAAGATTTCAAAAGATGAAGTTAGGAACTAGTTTAACACTTTGTGAAAGAGAAAATAAAAGGAAAAAAATAACAACGTTCAGAAACTGAATTGCTTTGCAATTTTACTGATAAACTGCAAAAATGCACACTGGTCAAATTCTTTTTCTCTTGCAAAACCATGCAATAGTGTCAAGATTCATTTTGTTATGATATCATAATAAAATTTGTATGGGAACTTACGAATTTTCAAGAATAATATGGACTTCTTGTGGATACAAGATCATCAATGTTCTGAAAGTTGTAAGTTGAAACTTTCTTCTTCTGTCCCCTGAACATGACCTCAACTTCTACATTAAATGTCGCACAAACAGGTCGATGATCCGAGAATTTAAATTCCTTGCGGACGTATGAAAGTTGATGTATTCCCCTTCCATGCCACAAGATTCTGTCGCACCTGCAATATTCTCCATTATTCAGATTTGAAAGAAAGATTGAATATACAATTTGGTTCACAAACGATGATGATACTTTTGTGCTTTTGGTTCCTAAAACTTTCTACGTATACAAAGAGAAAATAGGTTATATACTAACAGTGTAATTACAAACCATTATGCATAACAAGTTTATTGACTTTCATAATAATACTAACAAGAGAATCGTATAAATAGTGCTTTTTGATTGGTTGACAGTTCAGCCGTTAAACTCTTTATGTTCAAAGACAAATTTGAACTATATGGAAACTTTTAGGAACAGAAGTAATGAAAGTATGTTCTAGGAACAAATTTATTAGAAGAAAATGTTTTGAATTCTTCAAACTGATACATACCAAGCTGGAGTTCTCCTTTTGTTCTTTGAAACTTTTACACCTTCAACATAGTAAGTGTCTGAGTTGAACGCATATTTGTAAGTAGGTGCAAAGTAGATTTTTCCCTCTTTCCACCCCTTGAACACACGACCTGCTTCCCTTTCCATTTTAAGCTGTGAAAAGAATGAATTGTACAATGCATCAGAAATGTAACTAGAAATCACCACAAAAAACAGATGCGCACCCAAATGGAACTCCACTTAGATTTTCAGAAGATTATGAGTATATCAATATGAATATCATTATGAAAGCTAGGATGCTCAACAGCAATGGCATGGATTAACTTCTCAAATAACAAGAGGGAAACATGTATGTATGATATTCAAATCAGGACAACATTGTTAGGCCAGAGAAACTACCTGATCCTTGTTAAAAAGAGCAGGCCAGTCCTTCTTTTCCACAAGCCTTTTTGCATCATCATGGCTCAAAGAAATTCTGTAATTCAAGTCCCCAAACCATATGATTCGGCTGGAGAAGACATTTCCCACACAATCAGAAAATTTGGGACCATTGATAAGAAAATCACTCAATGTCACTTAAGAATTTTTTTGCAATAAAACTCTTCGTAATTAGTTTCAAAAGATGCTCACTCGTGATCTAAGATTCTGTCAGGCATCCTACTATGGGGTGTCTTGCAAATCCTTGGAAACTGAGTATTCTTCAAAATCTCTATGACATCAAGATTCCTGCGAAGCTCGTCACCCTCTTTCTCTCCAGATGCCAAATGGCTACAGATAAAGCAAAAACTTGTCTGATAAAAAGACATGCTCACTGATATACACCCCTGCAGCCACAAAACAAGCATGGTAATGTAGATAGTAACTACAACTTTATGTTAACAAATTGTTTTCTATTTATACTTTGTATAACTTGCAGTTAAATGAAATAGAATGAAGCTTCTTAAGACTACCTTGTTCCCAAGGCAACCCATGATCCCGCGACTAGTGCAACATATTCTTAAATGGCCTATGTACTGAACAAGTTCCCTCTTCATCCAGACACTCACAAAAATTCCAACCATTTGCTTACATGTAACAAGACTATATTTCATCTGATTAGTAGCCAAGGCAACAGGAATTGGGAAATTCTCATCCTCCTCTTCAGTTGAAGAATCATCAGAATTGAAGTTTGATTCTTGACAGCGGAAACAAAAATCCTTAGCAGCCTTCCTTTCCATTTCAAAAACACAGTTACAACTTTTTAGCCTCTTTCCATTTATTTTCTTGAAAGTTTTCTTAATCTTCTTCAAAGAAGGCTTTTGGAAGAACAATGGTCCGCCAAAAGATGCAGTTGATTTTAGTCCGTTAGATGTCAAATCTGAAGGACCATTGAGTGATTGGTTGATTAAAGCAAGCCATTTTGCAGCAGGCTCATTATCCTCTAATACCAGCACATTTCCAGCATTTAAAGGGACAATCTCCTGAAAGCTGAAAAATTGAAGATATATTATATTGTGAATTAGCGAGTTTATTAAGAGTTTTTCTTAAAAGAATCACTTTCTTTATGCTAATAAAAAAACTTTTGGAAAATGTTAACATCTTTAATATAAGCTTTTGGATTATTTTGAGATGCTAGAATAAGTGTTAAGAAAAGATTAGTTTTTATACAATCTTAAAAACACTTTTATTTTCCCTTTTAGTTCAGCAAACTGCTAAAGCAGTAATCTAGAATTAGACTACTTTTCTGCCTAACAAAGCACTGCCCATTATTCAAAGCATTTTTATTGCTCAAGCAGACAACAGCGCATGCACCAAACTATATTTCATGGCAAACAGTGAAAATATATTTATTTCATGACAAGTATGAAAGGTCAAAAGTTAAAATCCAAAATGATAAATGACCTTCTTTTTGACAAAGTGAATAAACGAAGGATAGTTAGTTCACTTCCTTAAAAGAAGGGGCAATTTGTTGACAAATCTTATCCATTAAAATCAGAAGTATGATAGAGAGACAGACAGAGCATACCCCAAAACATACATATCTGGTTCATTTCGAACCTGAAGAAAATCACCCAGATCAAGGTTCACAGTGGGGCATTGCCCTCCTACGTTCCATGTTGCTGCAAAAACTCTAATATGCAAAAATCTGGTCACCAATATTGTAAATTTTTTTTTGGTAAAAGAAAAAATCAATTCATATACATACCTGAGATTTTGACCTGCTTCAGTAGAAGCCATAGAAGGTTCCGAACCTAGATTTTCACTGGATGGATCCGAAAGTGTATCTACAAAAAAAATTAGAGATTGGTCAAAGTGATCATGCCAAGATGAACCTCTAGAATGATGGTGGTGAAACATGTGAAGCCTGAGGTTTTATTGCTCTTAACATTATCCTCAATTAATGTGGGAATGTAAATACAGTAAAAGTTATGATAAGGATAAATTTGTACTTTAATATATTCTCAAATTTGGAACAAATCACTAGATGCTCCACTTATATTACAGTTTACAAGTCAATGAAGCCATAACAACTTCTTATCTGTAATTTTTTTCATTTCTAAAAGAAGTTCTTGCCAAAAGGGAAAATGAAAAGATAAGTTCTTGCAACCACTGATAATACATAGGAACATATTGCTAAAAGCAAGAAAGGATATTCTGTGCCTTTCTCAATACCCACTTATTATTATCTCTCAACAGTAAGAAAGAATATTTTGTGCCACGATGAAACAGTGAAAAAGAAAAATGAATCCATTCAGCTTGCTTAATTTATTTCACCTCCTTAAACACAAGTATGAACACATTCTTCCTAATTTTCATTAGATGTTCCCCCTGCCACACTGAACTTTCAGTTATCAGTTAGGCCAGCTCATCTCCTAATCTTTACAACTAAGATGGGATATTACAAACATCGTGCTTGTACAAAAGATGGAAGAAGAAAAGGTTTAAGTCAAAGGGAAATAAATAAGTAATATATATTCTCTTCAACAGAAAAGTTGCGATTCCAATAAATATTCTCTTTAATGGGATAGTAGTGATTCCACCTTTTCAGGAAACACAGCATATTGAAATGCTGAATGATATCTCCAAAATAATAACCAAAGAAAATTGTGTAATGCTGTCAACCTCTATCTAGTTAAAACAGAGTGAGTTTCCATAAAACTCACCAAGCGAATAATTTGAACCTCTCTCCATTGTCCTTGCATTTCTCTCCCTCATCGCCAAAACTTTCCACAGAAACGACTGAAATCACATTCACAAGAATAATTGCCAAGTCAACATTTAATCAAGTTATTGAAATAAACATAAACATTGAATACAATACATAATCAGTCACATGACTCGAGAGATTCCAGAGTGTCATCCATTAAATATCTTAATGACAGTGAATAAGAGACACAAACAAACGCACAAAAGAATGTTTACAATTAAACTTAAGACAAACTAAACAATATTTGTCAAGAAAATAAAGAAAGAAAGAAAACCTGCTTTTTCCTCTGCTGATTGCTTGCCATCATATCTGAAACTGTTTCTTCTTGTTTATCCTCAAATTCGTTGTCCATCTAAATTCCCAATAAAAGAGGGATGCAAGACACGTGAATCAGTGCACTCCGAGCATAGATCACAAGAAATTAATCAATACCCGTTGTATGATTATTTCCCAGTAACTATTTATAAGAAAATAGGCATCTGAAAGCATTCAAACCAAGAGAAAACTTGGCATGTTTAGATTATTGAAACACTCGGCGTATGACCCGAATTGGAAAAGAAAGAATTCACAAATGTCCCAAAAGCATGAAGAAGTGCAAGACAATGCAATAAGTATCAGTTCTTAGCCATGAACCCAAATCCAACAAATCAGAACAGTATCAAAACAGAAATGGCAGTCATTGAAGAAGAAAATCTGAGTCATTTAGAGAAAATATTGCCGTACAAATTCCAAATGTGATTGTTACAAAAGTCAACTTCTAATGCAATGCCCTTCAAGCATCAACTATCCTACAGGGTATGTCCAGAGAAGGAATATAAACTGAGACAGGGAAACAGAAAAAGGAACCTGAATAATCCTTGTAGAACTGAAAACGCTTACTCTTGTGTGCAACAAAAGGGTCCAAAGTTTCTCATCCAAAGAACCATAAAACTTGACATATATACCAAACAAGAATTTGATGGTTCCCAAAAGGATAGAAGAGGGGACAGGGAAATAGGAATAGATACAAATAGGGAGTAGGGTCCTCCCTACTCAAGAAATTGGGATGAAAAATTCAGAAACAATAAATAGAAAAGAGATAAAAAGGAAACAGTCAAAAGGGAGAATGGAATAGAATCTCATGTGCCCCTTCATTCATATATATTATTATTTTTTGAGGTGTGTGGCAAAGGCTATGATTCGTCGGTTTGTTCTTTGTTTTATTCTATAGGAAAACAAAAAAGGGGTTGTTTTCAATAACCAACGAAAAAAAGCATTTGTTTGAGCTTCAATGCTGAGAATTGTCTTCGAAGTTTGAACCTCGTCCTTTGTACTAGTTTGAACGTTAAGGGTAGAAAGAAAAGAAGTTACTTTCTTGTGTGATCTTAGTCTATGGAGAGAGAAAGTAACCAACCCCACGTGTGTGCCTGCAAATAAAATCACAATAGTGGGTTGTGCCATGTTTCCCATGAACGTGACATCAAAAGGCACCTTTTGCCTTGTGCTAAGGAATGGCTTTTACCCATTTTCATTGATTTCGAATCATATTAAAACTACAAAACTCAAATTAATTGTTTAGAAAAATTATCAATATGATAAATACAGTGGTTAATAATTATTGTAGTGGGTTTATACAAAAAGAAAAGGATAAATTTATTCAAAAATTACTTTTCATCTTTTTATTTCTAATGGTTAGAATACATTATATATTTATTGAGAGAGTGAGAAAAAGACAATGAAGATATTTTTTTAAGTCAGAAGTAAGAATCTTGTATTTATTTTGATCTTGTATATTTTTTTAATCTAATATTAAATATGAAGATATTTTAAAAGTAAATTTTGTTATTTTTTTGTATAATACCACAGTGTAGTAATCACATCAATTCTCATACCACCAATATAAATTACTCCATCCACACTAGAGATATTTTAATTAGATTATTTAAATAAAATAAAATTTACTTTCCCTCCCTTCCAACTTTCTTTAATATATTAGAGGAGTCAAAATTTGGTAAGGGAAGATTTTGCTCTCCCAAACCAAACAAAAGAAATTACTTTCTCTCCAACCAAAATATACAATACATTCAATGCATCATAATTGTTAGGGAAAGGAAAAAAAACATAAAAATAAATAAAATAAATTGGAAAAATATTCTTCTTCATTTGAAAGAAAAATAACATGAAAAATTTATAAGTGTTCATTTTAAAAAAATATTAAATAATTAAATTAAAAATAAATATTTATTTAACTACAAAATTACTCATAAAATTATTAATTATTTTTTCAATTAAATAGCTTTTTAAAGTAATATATTTAAATTCATATTTTATTTTTTAATAATATATACTTTATATATAATTATAAAATATATTTTATAGTAAAATTATTTTTTTAATTATTTAAAACTAAATTAAAATAATAATGTCATATTATAAACAAATAAAGAAACATATTAAATTATTTATTTGATTTTTATCATCATTTTCATATTTATGGTATTTTATTAAAATAGTAATTAAAGTAATTTTTATATATTCAAATTTTAAATATAAAAAAAAATAATTATTTATTTGAATAAAGATAATTTATAAATTAATATTTATATTGTACTTCTTATTTTTTTCGTTCATTTTTTCTACATTAATCACTTTTTACTCTACATTTTCTCTCAAAAACGGACGAAAATTATATATGATGTGAAAGAAAGATTTAGAAACTTGTACAACATCAATGTGTCTCCAATGCACAAGAAGATAAGTATTCGTTCGAAGAGATAAACAAATGTGTCTCTTTTATCTTTATAAGACCTAACCAAATAGTTATATTGTGAGAAAACATAAATTGAGTAAAATATCTTATATTCATTTGTAAAGGTCTAAATCTTTTACCAACTTGAAGAAACTTGTCAAAAAATATTATTTGAATATTTCTTTAGAGAATAAATTGAAAGAATACTTAAAATAAGTTAGTAGTAATTTAAGAAAAATAATAAAACTTAACGTGTGAATCAATAATTAATTAAAGACAAATCAATATAAAAAAAATCTTATATATTTTTTTAATCTTTTGTCTCGTTCCAAAAATTTGAAAAATATTTTTTCTATCAGTGTCATTGTAAAAAATTAGTTTGATTAATAAAATATCATTTTAATGGTGATTTAAAAATATTTTGTTACACTTGTAGTTGTTAATGGAATAAATTTAAAATTGTTAAAAATTTTAATAATATTACTTGATTAATAACTAGTTAGTATAACATAAGTAAAAAAGATTATTAAAATCATGAGACACGTATAAAAGAATGAGCTATTTTGAAGAGAAGAATATGACGTGGGAACTGGTCGATTGAGAAATGAAAAAAAAAAAAAAAAGAGAGAGAGAGAGAGGAAAAGAGTGGAAAAGTGGTCCTAAAGAGTAACTCCATGAATGAAGCAAAATGTTAAAAAAGCTCAAAAGCATAGGCACACGCAAAGAGCCTCTTTCTTCCAAATGGATGAATCAACAGTCAAAGTCAAACCCCTCTCCACGTGGGGCCACCTTCAAAGTACCTTAAAAAATATATATATGTGGATTTTGAATATAACAACTGTAACAGAAAATTTGGGTGAAAGAAGAAGAAAAAAAAAGTGAAAACTGAGGCTAGTTATAAAGGTGATGAGGTAGAGTAGTATGGTCCCCAAAGATGATTATGGTGATGATGTATAAAGTATTGATTCATGCATGCTCGTTTACCAAAGTGTCTCTAACTTTTGTGGTACTACGCCACTCTGCAAAGAGACGAAGCCAGCTTTGAATAACACCAATATGGCGGCAGTTTTCTCCGTTGAAAAAGCGAATCGATCATTCTCCCCAAAATACAGGATCACCATTTCCTCTTCAAATGGCATAGTGGGGCCACTTCACCTCCACTTCGCAGACACACTCCTTGGTATCCCTGTTTTCATGCTTAACACAAACCTACTCGACCCAATCTCAACTTTTCTTCACCATTTTCCAACTCATATCTATGGATATCAAGACAATCAATGTCACTTGATATCAGTTTGGTCTTTTCTACCTGTTTTTTTACCATGCTAAGTATTGTTTCACCTCAATATTTATTATTCTTTTACAGCAAAAAATAAAATCATCGATGGAACTTTTCTAAATTCTCTTCAAATCTTCTATTTTTTTTATGTCTTTTTATAGCAATTTATATATATATATATATATATATATATATATATATATATATATAAAGAGATTCTTTTATTATTTTTCATTTTTTTACTTGACACCAGCTTCATGTATTAAATTGTGTTCCAATATTACGTTGGAAGTCTTGTATTATTTATTTTATGCTAAGTAGATTGTTTAAATGTGTTCTTATTATTCATATATATATATATATATATATATATATATATATATATATATATATATATATCATGCAAAATTTTACACTCTAAAAAAAAGTGCAAATAAGGTATATATATAATCTCCTAGAACAAAAAAGAAAGAATTTTTTATAACTAAAAATAATATAAAAGGGGAAAAATAAGATTTGTTATAAAAAAACAATTATGTTAATATCCCTTAAGTTAGATGGTGGATGTCACAAAGACTCAACTTGGATATAGAATTACCAAAAGTTGTATGATGAAGAGGTTTAGTAAAAATATTTGCACGTTGGTTGAGAGATAAAACAAGAAAAAGATGAATTAGGTCTTGTTGAATTTTCTCGCGTACTACATGACAATCGATCTCAATGGGTTCAGTGTGCTCATGAAATACATGATTATGGGTTAAGTAAATGGCAGATTGATTGTCACAATAGACTGCAGTACAACCCAATGAAATATAAAAATCACATAAAAGATAATGTAACAATTGAATCTCACAAGGGAGGTTGGTCAGTGTTCGATATTCTGCTTCGAAGGATGAACGAGAGATAGTAGATTGTTTTTTGGATTTTCAGGAAATAAAGGAAAACACAAAATTCAATGATCGAACGGCGAATGTCCAAACAACAGGCCCAGTCCAAATTAGCAAAAATAGAAAAACGAATATCAGTAGAGGCAGGGAAAATTAACCTCTAGGCAGGTAAACCTTTTAAGTATCTAAGAACTAGGATGACAGTTTTATAATAAACATCAAGAGGCTAAGTCATGAATTGACTAAGTTGCTGAACAGAAAAGAGGTGGCAGGGCGCGTAAGTGTGAGATGTATCAGAATATGATTGTTCATGATTAGCCTGAAGTTTAGTAGAGAGATCAGAAGGAGTGGTAACATGTTTGAAACCAAGTAAATCACTATCATCAAGAAGTTCAAGAATGTATTTAAGTTGGTTCATGTGAATGTCGGACTTAAATCATACAATTTCTCCCAAAAAATAATGAAGAGTAATCTTGAATTTAGTATCCAAGACACATTTGACATAATTAATTTCGTTCATATCATCACCAGCTAAGACAATATCATCCACTTAAACTAATAAAGTTATGAAAGAAGTGGAAGGAACTTTGACAAACAAAGATTGATCAGCTAAAGATTGTTTGTAGTTGAGAGATAAAAGAGTGGTAGAAAGAATATCGTATCATTGTCTGTTGGCTTGCTTGAGTCCATATAATGACTTGTGAAGTTTACAAACCTGAGAAGAACCCACTGGAAACAAACCAGGTGGAGGGATCATATAGACCTCCTCATGAAACTCTCCATGAAGAAAAGTGCAAAAACCACCCTTTAACCGTTGCTATAGCTAGAAGAATACGGACAATGGTGATCTTGGCAAACGGGCATTATGTGTCAAAATAATTCACCCCATCTAACTGAATGTAGTCATTGGCCACTAAGTGGGCTTTGTATCTATTAACAGTGTTATCTGTAAGATATTTAACCTTGTAAACCCATTTACAACCAATGGGACTCTTTACTTATGAGAGATCAACAATAGATCAAATGTTATTTTGCTGTAAAGTTTGTAACTCAGCATTCGTAACCTTTGCCAATAATACAATTTAGATGTTTAGGAGAAAGTAGTAGGTTCAGAAATGTCAGTAACAGCAAAACAAAAAAATTTATAAGAGGAATTGCATTAGGAATAATCAAGAACTGAGGATAAATTATGCAAACAAGAACCCTTAAGAGGATGTGTAGAACTGCTAGAAGCAACTGCGGAATGACAATGAAAATATATTAGGTAAGAAGGTGGTTTGCAAGATCGGGTGGGGTGTCTAATATGTAGAGAAGATGAGGCATGAGAACTAAGATTCTAGTTAGAATATATAATAGATGGTATATCTGTAACATGAGGGTGATGAATAGGCTCGGTAGGAGAGGATATATTGAGTAATAAAGGAAAAATAGAAGAAATTGAGAAATGAGTGATGGAGGAATGGAAAGGAAACACAGTTTCATAAAAAATGACATTTCTTGAAAGAAAAATCTTATGGGTATGGAGATCATAGAGAACATAGCCTTT